CCTTGTTATAGTTTAATAACCTAGTCAGGTTTTTAATTCCATCATAAAATTCTCCAGACTCAGTGCAAGTTCTGTATATTCTTAGAACTTCTGTGTAATTGATAGCGCTTTTAAGCATAGAGCCTATGTGAGAAGACCCATGGCAAAACTGATTACTTCAAACTTAAAGCCATCTGTTTAGTTTTATTGCCTGGTATTTATACCATCATTTGTGAAAATGTGTACATTGTTGAAATTGCATTCACACTCTGTTGGAGTTGTAGTCTCCAAATTTACAACATTGTTATAGACGTCGTCCAATATGATTTTTGAAATCTTGGGTTTCATCATGGACTATAATGCCCGCGCATATAGTCGCCTTTTTTAGACCAATGCGTTCTTCACCAAAAAATGATATAAAAGTGGAAAAGTAAGAATCAGGGTTTACTATCTTACAGCGTTTTCCCCAGATTTTTGGATATGATCATAGCCTAAATATGAATTTGTGAATTATTTGACCTACGCAACGCAGATGGCTGGCACAAACTATCGTTCATGTTGGCTGCCTCCACATCTTGCCGTCTGTATCATTAGGAGTAATGGAAACTTATGCGGCCTGGGTACCTCGCATGGGCTCTGCACCCTTTTTGCTGGCGTGCTCTCTAATCGTTCCCCCACCTGATTAGCGATTTAAGCTTGCTGGTCATTTTCCTCCGCCCGGTGGGAAAATGATTGGAGACACGCTTATGAAAGAAGGACAGAGTTCTAGAGAGATTCAGCCGCACGAGGCCCATCCCTTTTAATGATAAAGACGGTACAACACTCGGATCCGTTTCCTTTTCTGCTTAATTACGAACTGAAGTTGAAAATGAAGGAAAAAAATCAGGATAAAATTGAGTCAAAAAAGTTGAGCATGTAAAAACCAACAGCTCATTACCTTTGAAGACGAGGGGAAAAGCAGCGTTACAGCTTTTAAAGTATTCTATCTTTATTCAACGTGTTTTTACGATAGATCGCGACCTGGAAAGATATTAGCGATGACTCACTAAGCTACTAATGTTGCAATCTAAAAATACCAGCATGGAAAAACAAATCGCTTGATTCCGTGAACTTTCTTTTTATATTTCAGACTGAATCATTGAGGTATTGATGTTGCAATCTAAAAGTATTAGCATGGGAGAACTTTGCTTGAGTCCTGAATTTTCTCTTTATAGTTCAGGCGGACGACGTCACCAAGGCGCGTATGGCATCGTGTATCAAGAGGAACGAAATACACAAGGCATTGCATCCGACTTCGGGACCAGGTGGGCCTTTCCGAATGCGCCTGAAGAAGATAGAAGGCTCTATGAGGTAGAACTTAGCGTAAACTCGAAAATTCAAGAATGTTGAGTTTTCCAGACGGAGCGATATCATAATGGTGATATGACCTATGTTTTCGATATTCCCAAGGAGGGCAACTATGTAATCATTTTGAAGTTTTCGGAGGTGTACTTCCAAGGGCCGGGACAAAAGGTAACCGTTTTTAATGCAGAGAAAATGCGCACATACTCATCATAAACTATAATGTAGGTCTTCCATGTGAACATCAACGATATTCCTGTGAAGAGGAACTTGGACATCTTCCAAGAGGCGGGCGCGACCGGTGCAGCACATGACATGTAAGTGCTTATACTGCGAATCATGGTTGTGGAGGTACACCTGGAACGAATATGGATAGTTTTAAGATTATGAAAACTCGTCTT